CCGTGACACAGAGCAGTGAGGAGGTTACAGTAGAGCAGGAAACAGTATGCAGGGGATGTTTAGGATTGATGAGGCTGCAGGAACAGTCTTTTTACCATATGGTCAGGGTTTACCAGTTGGGTTCATCTAGTTCAGCTTCATGGTTTTAACCTTAGTAACCCGCAAAACCATAAAGAATAAAATCAATGGCAGAACAGGGGGGGAAACACATGATTAAGTGCAAGGGAGAGGGAAACACGCCACCAGAGAGTAAGAGAACATCACAGCTAGGTGTCATTAGATGTAACCACACCCACATTTTAAAGCTTGAACAATCCATTAGGAAGGCAACAATCTCGGAACTCATGATCTTTTAATTGCTGTTGATATAGCCATCTTTTTTGGGCTTCCTATGTAGCCAGCAATTAACCATATAAGAACTTCCTGCAATGGCCTATTTTCAGTGCGGTTGCTTAATTTAGTCTAACTAGCCACAAGAGAATCAAGAAGAGTTTAAGTGGAGAGATGAGATCTAAGAGCGTCTAACATTGCCAGCAGCACATGCACGCAAATATCTGTTTACAGACATCAATTAAAGCTGACTCGTCATTAGATGACTGTCGTTGGTTCCTGGAATTGCATTAGGACAGATTGCCTTTCACCCCTTTTGCTCTCTACATGGATTGTTTTCCTGTATTGAGCCAATGCATGCAGAAACACTAGTAGTCAATACTACTCAAACAATGAACGGAAACCAATACACTTCCAAGACCAGAATCTGGTCCAGCCCATTTTAATCCAAAACCTGTAAATATCAATTGGGGAGGAAAAGTAAAGGACATTTTTCTATGTTGCCAAACTTGCTAGAAAAACAGCTATATACATTTCACAACATTAAACAAGTAAAGGTCCTCAAAATCATCTTCAAAATTACAAACTCCATAATTGTCCTACAAATGACTATCAATAGTCTATCAATAGTCTTGCCCAATTGGGGATATCCCATTATATAGTTCCTGCTAGATATATTTTTTGAATAGGTTGAAGCTGCATTAGGTAATTATAACATGCTGGAGTAGTAAGTAAAGTAAAGTGTAAGACATTAGGAGAAAAAATTAGGAGCGCTAATTGTGGATGAGTACAAAGAGTTGTATTCATCTATTGCTACAAGTAGACCACATTCTCCCACCTAATTATTTTACATTACAAGATAATTTAAAACCAATGAAAAAAATAACCAGATATAAACACAATATTGCATTTCTTCTTCAGCTGCTGTCCGTCACTCTGGAGTGTTTAACGTTTATCGTGTGAGAATGGGCATATTTTAATCTCTCTCTTCTTCCTAGATCCGGGCGCTTTCATCTCTTACCAAATGAGTATCAAACCCAAGGTATCCTGGGGCAGAGGCCAAAGCAGACTGCCCTGTGATCAAACACCAGGCAAAATCCAGAGGACCTTCAAATGTTTCTTTTTCCTTCCTATTTTTATACTTCTTGTTCATCATCCTTTTAGGAAAATCCTCTGGGGTGCTCTATGGATTATTTAGGAAGCCGACCAAATTGTTCAATAATGGAAGAAAAATGTATTTTATAAAAAATTCAGTCAAGCACAAACAGGAGCAGATCATTATTCGTCTTTCTCTTTCTGTGCTCAGGTCCATGTGAGGTTGGACCAGAGGCTTCTCAAAGTTTGCAAAAAGAACAATAAAATAGATCAGATGAGGGCAGACGGATGCATCTGAAACTAGCTACTCCATTACCACTGGGCCAGCTCTGTCCTGGAACGATCTGGAGCAAATCACAGTGGAACTAAATGGAAGTGAAGGACGCCTGCTGCTGGGTGGAGATGGAAGTCTGTGAGCTGGGTCCTCTGGGTCTTCTCTGTTCTATCATACTTTTGCACGATTGCCGCTTGTTGCCTGCTGATGTTTGGCATGCGAAGTAGGGATTTGCAACAAGACGACAACTAACGGCCCTCTGCATCTTCTTTATCTGTTGAGCTCAGCCCACAGAGATTCCTCTTCCCAGACAGACCATACACATTGTCACAAGGAGGGTATGAACATGCAATTAAGTGCACACGTGAGAATCAACAGGCATATTGATACAGCATATACATGGATGTCGACTGCAACTCCGAGAGAAGTGGGGGGCTGTAGTGAATATCAGACAGTGAAGTCTGGGGACAGAAAGAAAAAGCATGATGTAATATTAATGAAAATTAAATTTTAACGTCATTCTTCTATTGAACTCTGAAGTTTTTGAGAATGCAGTGTTTTTGCTGCAGCATGTTTAACCTCCTTTAAAACTTTAAAAGATTTCAGGAAAGCTTTGAAGGGTTTTGGTCCAATCTCCACTCCTCATTCATCTAAATACTGTACACGTGCAACATTTGTGGCCGCAGCCAGTAAAGGAGATGTACTTTGGAACCTTTTAGTTGAATAACTAACGTCTGACAGATAGAGGTGTTGATGCAAACGTGTCCTATATAGGAAAAAGATAATTCATGTTAAGTTTGAATATGGTATCATGGAGACAGACATGCATCCAACCTTATCCATTAGAAGAAATGTACAAAAAACCTGCACACAGCCAAACAGACTGGCCCCCATTACACACAGTTCACATCTTTTGTTCATCCACACTATGGGCACACTTACACTATGCAATCCATACCGTGCCTATTTACGCTTTACCCCTAAAGTCCAGTTCGTTTGTGAGAGTGAGTGCTCTGACCTGCGCTCAAGCACGGTACACTTCCTTGGCTCCTGAACGCTTGGAAGAGGTGTGCTTCGGCACGGCGCAGTTCAAGCCCGAGCACGAGCATCAGCACGGGTACACAACGTAGGACAGCCTTCATTATCGAGAAATCCTGGAGTATTATGGCTGTATCAGACAAATAACTCAAAATAAGCCACATTCTCTGTGTTGTTCTCCGATGTGCGGAGGCAGACTATTCTGTCTGTCTTGTAAACTAAGCATGCTTCATAATTACTTAAAGCCATTCATGTATTGTACGACGTTATGTACAAGAGGTAACTGTGCTCAGGCCCGGTTAGTCCTGGAGCAGTCAGTGCAGGCCAGCGGGGGGGGGGGGGATGGGGAGAGGGGGCAACCTTGCTTCAGCACGGTATGGGACAACTTTGTGAGTGCGCCCCTCCTCTTTACATACGTGCCAGCAGGCGCCATATCATGCAATGTGAAGATCAAGTGAGAATTAGAGTTGATGATGGGCTTCAAAACATGCAAGTATTTGCCCCCTTTAATCCTTCCATTAATTGTTGTCTTTATGTGTCAAGAGGACATGAAGCTAGTATGTTCTGGAGGAATCAATGCCCTCAATAACACCAGATTGTAACTGAGGTTTTTCCCTTGACCTATAACACATGTTCCAGATTAAAGGGTTGCCATTGGTACAGAATAGAGTATGAGATTTCATTGAGGAACTCAAGTTGCAACTGAAAAACTAGACATGATAGATGTAAAGATGCATATAATATTGTCTTCAGCCCCTTTTAAAAAGGACTGTTTGCTGTCACTCTGCCATGGTGCTCTATAGAAAAGGATTGTTGACTGAATGAATTTATTTATACTCATGACCATAATAACATGGTATGGAGCACAAACTGTGTAAATGGGGGCTGGCAAAATGGGAAAGGGCAGTGTTTTTTGTGTGTACGTGTGTGTGACGCCAGTGCTTTTGTTTACTTGTTCCGCCATTAATGCCAACAATGGCCGTGTCGGGCATCAAAAGACAAGGTTGTTTGGTCATGAATGAAAACAGCAAATAATGAGTTTCTTTAATGTATTGCTGCAGAATCTATCATGGACAATTTCCAATTCATGTTGTGACTTTTTTTCAATTATTCAGACTTTTTAAAAAACAAAATCTCAGTTCATCACAAATCCCCAAAATCCTTCTAATGTCTGGTGGTTTAAACCCAGAGCTGTTACACAACATAAAAATAGGACAGGCAAATCCTTGCAATTCAGAAGAGATAAGTAATGTTTTAGAAGTAGCCTTGATTACTTGACTATTAACATTTCTGATAAGTTTTCTGTTGATTAAGCCACAGATTGACTATTTGTTTAACAACTACAAAATTATCGCTTACAACCCCTTCTAGGCCTTTGTTCTCTGTTCCTGTTTTTCAACGTAAAACACTTGAAAACTAACTAAAGAACTAACTTAAGTGCAATTGCTTATATGGGACAAAGCCTCGCGTTTGAGGATGTGAATTATTTGTTTATTCATTTACCCTTGCCACAGCAACAGATGCCCCCCTCTTCTTTACTAGAGGCTGTCATGTACCAGGATGTCCTTTGGCAATAATTGCACCTGACAAATAAGCCTTGAAAGGAAAGGAATGGAGGGTGGTCCACCTCTTGCTGATCTGACGGAGCAACTTAATTGAATCCATCAATCAGAACCACTATTCACAATCTCTTCTTTACTGACTTTCATTCTATTCTTGCATAATCCATTTCTTCCACTCACAGCTGAATGTATCTCCTCTCTGTCAGCCTCGCTGCCTCTCATGCTCACTTGCACACACATATTAAGATCAATGTATGTGCAAAAAAATCAATTCAAAAATATTGTTTCTCTCTCCTGGCTCCCAATCCTCATTAGTCCCCCTACGGTGCACAAACACATTACTTGTTTATTACATCGTGACAAAGCTAATTACTACATCGTTTTCTGCAGTTTTTTCTTTCAACGGTCTACCCCGCCGACTCTGCAGCAGGTTGTGAGTTTAACGCAGTGCCTTCTAAATCTCTATGCAGAAGCGTAGTGGAAGCTTTCTCCCCCAAATCACTACAGCCCCACATGGGACGTCACAGTCACTGTCACTGTCAGGGAAAAGAAAATAGAGTAAGAACAAAAGGAAATACCTTCCTACACTGGAGAGGAAAGGGTTAAGCCTATTACGGAACACCAATCAGGACTGGGGGAGCACTGCAAACCTCCGCAGTGAGAGAGAGAGAGAAAGAGAGAGAGAGAGAGGGACGGAGGGATTGAGGGAGAGAGAGACGAGAGCAGAGCGGGAGATAGAAAGATACAAGGAGTGTGATGGTTTGCACTCACAAACCACACAGTTAGGCAGGGAGGGAGTGCAACAGAGTTGTTGAGAGGAGGAGTATTCACGGACCAGTTTATATGGATGGTTAAGAAAAAATGGGAGAAAAGGGGAGAAAAAGAAGAATCCCACCAGCATCACTGTCAGGACTAATCTCTGTGGACTTGTTTTTTTCTGCCCAGGACTCCGGAAAGAAAGAACATCTGTCAGTTGTGTGACCCTTGTGTGGTCATCACTATTCAATCCCACTTCTTGGATTACAGCGAGAAGGAGCAGAAGATAACCAGCAGGTTTTATCGGTCGACCTAGATTGTTACAGAGCTGTGAGGAAAGAAGACAGCATTGAGCACGGACCAGCTCTGGAGCATCTGTGTTTACCCTGCATGGTGAGCTTAGCTGTGTTTTGATGGGGCACTCGACTTATTGGTTTGATTTAAAGCACCTCAGCCTAGTGCAGCGTAGGTGACAGCGAATAAAACTCAATGCCAAACCTCTCTGTCACAACAACACATGGACCTAATCGGAAACCTTCAAAACATTTCTGAATAACTTCAGTTGCTGGAAGACAGTCTTCTACACATATTATGTCTTTAGTGAAACATATTAAACTGATGAAAATACAATCAGCCTTCAACAAAAGTAGCTGCTACTGTAAATATTACACTCTAAAATGCATACGTTTACTTTTTTTACTGCTACACAAACATAATTTTTTGAGCTTTCAGGTTATACAGCATTTTAAACTTGATATGCAAAAGCCTGTTTTGAACCTGTGCATCTTTATTAGATGGATTCTAAGCTTCTCTCTTGCCTTGTACTGAAGCATGTTACACATTGCTCATTTCTGACATTGAGACATAGTAAAGCAAAGCATGCCTAACTGAAACAACCTTGAAGGATGACCGTCATGTTCCCCTGAAACGATTACATGGATCACTTCTAGTGACACACAAGGGGGCATCCTTGTCTTTACGACAAGCTACACTAGAAACCATACAGCGCTATAGTTCTGAGGCACTGTGTCCTACCATGAAAAATGCATGACCACTCTATCACCACTGAGCCTGCAAAAGCCAGACTTATTCTGCTGAAATGATTCACATAATATATATAAAGAATAACAACATATTACTAATCTGAGATCTGAAAGCGGGAGGCTGAGATGTCAAATAGTAGTTTCTGTTGTGCGAGCCCTTCATTAGTGCTCCTGTTATGTTAATTAGTGCAACAGCGAAGATGTAAAGTGTATCAGGCGATGAACAGGAACACGATAAGACATCAGAGGCTTGTTGCTATGCTAATAAGAGTTTCCTTGTCAACTCACAACTGAGGATATGTTTATTTTAACTAACGCATCCCCCACACTTCTCTCTCCTACTCCTCCTACTCCCTCTCTCTTTCTACCACCCTCCACCTCGTCCTTTCTCTCCCTTCAGGTCATTGTGAAAGAAAGATGCGAGGCTGAAGGACGGACAGATGATCTTGTATGCAGCTCCTCCATCCTAAAGTTCAACTGTTGTCTAGGATTTCTGGTGTCTGATGAACTCACTTCCACTACCTCATGAGGATGACCTTCTCCCCATATCGCTTAATCAAGCTCCGTCCTGTTCACATATAAATACTAGTGATCACAAATGTCACAGTGATCGCACATGTCATGGTAATTGGACACACATGCAATCTAATAATCTGCTCTACTAACGCCATAACCAGTGATTGAGGGTACAGCATGCCGAGGGGCAAACCAGAGACCTTTGCTCGATATACAAGTCAATGGCGGCTGGAGCCAGGCGTACAGAGACTGATGAGAAAGGTGGAGAGTGAAGGCCTGTTCCATTAAAGCTCCCAGGGGAGAGACATGGGCCTGGACACTGCCTGGATATACTGACCTCTCCTGGATTCATGCTGCATATTACTATGGTATAAACTGGGGAACGTTTAAGACCGGCTGGAGTACAAGCTGATGGATGTTACTTCTTTTTGTATTTACTGATCTGACTGCTTTCTTTTAACCAAAGACAAAAATAAACAAGAAGCAAGAATTTGGATCATACTTTGAGCGGTGAATTTTAGCACAGTCTGTGTTTCTTTGTTTTCTTGGTTGGCTTTGTCTTTCCTTCCTGGAAATATCATGAGATTATAAACAGGAGGTTGCTCTGACATCTCATCCCTGTGTCTCTCATCCATCAGTGCGGCCAAGAGTTCTGGGAAAGAATTCTGTGCAACAATAGCCCATTTCCTCTACACTACACACGGCGCAAGGTGGCTTAGCTTGCTTGCCATTTGGGTTACGAAAAAGCTTGTTGACATTCTTAAGGGAGGCGGACAGGTGCTTTTCTGGCTGTCAGTTTCTGTGGGACTGACGGGCAGTAAAAGGAAAAGCCTCACTGGGGGGCTCTGCTGGAGTGGAAACACTTTTCCACAGGCTATGTTTGGATGTGATGCTCGTCTCTGTGGATGTAACATGGACTTTATGGCCTGATTACACAGCCCTGGTATTCAGATAGTGTCAGAAAAGGTAAACAGTCTAAAATACCTTTTTTTTTCTCAATGCAATTTTAAAGTCCATTAAGATTATTTAATATTTCATGTGCTAATCACTTACTTTAATTCATTCTGTAGTGAATGTGTCTAAGCCTTTTCTCCCTCTTACTCAATAGTAATTACAGTCCCATGTACTGACTGCTTTTTGGTGTACTCGTTAGTCCTTTAATTATTTAAAGCTTATCCGAACAAACATCATGTATTTTAAAGTGCATCTCTGAGAGTTGGAAGCCTCTTTTTTGCCCAAATTTCTTGTCAGTATTGAACCCCCTCCTTTAAATCTCCAATAACAAGATGCTGCCAGCAAATCCTGGCAAGTCTTGCAACACTGCCCTGAAAAATCAAGCCTGTCCAAATGGGCTTCAAATCTGCTCTTTAATCCTTGCCCTCACCCTGCTTCATGACCTCTGGTCGATACTCAGTATGTAAATGGTATATATGCTAATATGTTACGACTATGTCAGCTTGAATGTGCTGCTCAGGCTTGAGCACTAAGCCACAACAAATCCATTGCAAATCAAGCCTTAACGCCTTTTGGCCTATTAGAATTTAATTTGTCCCAAAGTGTTTCCATTATGTGACTCTCTGTAGTGGATATATCCGTCTAATTAAATATGTTGAACAAAAGTAAAAGCTGATTAAGGCAAGACAGTTAGTATTTAGTCAAACCATGTGAATAGTAAGACACTAGTATTTGCAATGCATGGCAGTAAACAAAGTGTCTACTCTAATTTAATTTTTCATTTTATTTAACTCAAAAAGCTTTCTTATCATTTGATTGCTTCCCTTTAATTTCCAGCAAGATATTCTAGTTGTCTGTTAATTCCAACCCTCAATAGATGCGCAAAAAATAACCTCTTGTTTTCCTTTTCCTCTTCATTAACTTTGTTTTTCTCCACTCTTTATTCATAGGATAATGCATATTCTTCCCTACCTGAAACAAGAAGCCACCATGAGCAACGTCACCGTCACAGACAACACTGAACCCATCAGCCGCACCATGAGTCCGGCGACCCCCACCCCTTATACCTACCCGGTTAGTTTCCAGGTCTCCCTGACTGGCTTCCTCATGCTGGAAATCCTCCTGGGCCTGAGCTCTAACCTCACTGTGCTTGCCCTCTACTGTATGAAGTCCAACCTCATAAGTTCTGTCAGCAACATCGTCACTATGAACCTCCACGTGTTGGATGTGCTGGTCTGCGTTTGCTGCATCCCCCTCACCATTGTGGTGGTGCTGCTCTCTCTGGAGGGAGACACTGGTCTCATCTGCTGCTTCCATGAAGCCTGTGTTTCCTTTGCGAGTGTTGCCACTGCTGCTAATGTGCTTGCCATCACCCTGGATCGTTACGACATCTCGGTCAAACCAGCCAACCGTGTGCTGACCATGGGCCGTGCCCTGTCCCTGCTGTCTGCCATCTGGGTGCTATCCTTTATTAGCTTCCTCGTTCCCTTTATTGAGGTTGGCTTCTTCGCACAAGGCCCAGCTGAGCTGAACCAGACTGTGGTAGAGGATGTGGTCCAGACTAACCAGTACTTCACAGAACTTGGCCTCTATTACCACTTGCTTGCTCAGATTCCTATTTTCTTCTTTACTGTCGTTGTCATGCTGATCACCTATTCAAAGATCCTGCAGGCACTCAATATTCGCATCGGCACACGTTTCCACGCCTCACAGAAGAAAAAGGCTCGCAGGAAAAAGCGTCCATCCATGACAGCCATGACTCCGCAGCAAGAGGCCACAGACGGATCCCAGAGCAGTGGGAGCCGCAACCCCACACTGGGTATGCGTACCTCTGTCTCTGTCATCATCGCATTGCGCAGGGCTGTTAAGCGCCACAGAGAAAGACGAGAGCGCCAAAAGAGGGTCTTCAGGATGTCCCTTCTTATTGTGTCCACTTTCCTGCTGTGCTGGACACCCATCACAGTGCTCAACACAGTCATCCTGAGTGTGGGTCCCAGTGACCTCATGGTCAAGTTGAGACTGGGATTCCTGGTCATGGCTTACGGGACAACTATCTTTCACCCACTTCTCTATGCCTTCACGAGGCAGAAGTTCCAGAAAGTGTTGAAAAGTAAGATGAAGAAGCGAGTGGTGTCGATCATTGAGGCAGATCCTACTCCTAATAACGCCATCATCCACAACTCCTGGATCGACCCAAAGAGGAACAAAAAGGTGACATTTGAGGACAAAGAGGCCCAACAGAAATGTCTGTCCTCTGAGGATGTGGACTGAAGGAACTGATTACCTTTAGGGTATATACGGTCAATAAAAGCAGCTAAAACTGACATCATCAGGATGAAAAAGGGAAAATGTTTATCCAAAGCAGAATTGTAAATAATATGTGCAATATAATGTACAAAACAAGACCTGAATAATTTATTACTATTTATTGAGAACAAAAGTAGGTTTCATAGATACAACATATATTGTACTGTAGATATTGCATGGCTTTTTGTAACAGTATCAACATAGTCTACAGTAAATTGTGTACATACATAAAACATGTACAGCATAGGGTAAAACAAGGTATATAAATAGACAGAGAAGTAGAAATAGTATTGTATATGTATATTTATAATAAATCTTGTGTTCACTCACCTAACACAGCAAAGGCTTCCTATTCTCCCCTCCCCCAGGTTAAGTGTTTGTGATTCTGTAACAGCTGTGAGATTACTCCCATCCATCATGAAGCCACTTGCTCTGACACTAGACCCTGTACTCCCCCATGACCACTGACCTCATTGCCTCGGAGCCCTCATCTCATTTGGGACTCAAATGTAGGTATGAGGATGCAACAAAGACAGATCAAATTGGAAGGAACGGAAGGAAAGTAGTAGAGTGTAGGAAGATGTTACGTGGATATAAATGAACAGCTGCGAGGTGTCTGTTCCCAATCACCGGTTTGAGTGTTTAAAAACACTTGCACACACACACACACACAACAGAACTCCATGGTTCTTATCACTTTGTTTGACTTAGACCAGATGTAATCAACGTTCAGTCTGTTTTACTCTAACAGTCACCTCTTTGCGCCAAATGGAAAATTTACGGTTGCCTTATGTTGGTTTGATGAATTGAGAATGACTTTATGGTGTGACAAAAGCAGCCCCTTTTTAAACACCAGAAAAAATCACAAGTATCACTCTGAGAGAAAAAAAACTTTGGATTTGATCTTTTCAAATATTACTTCTTCAATCAAAATGACACAAAATGTTTACTACCGTTCTATTTTTTCAAATTGTCTGATTTTAATAACACTAGTCTTACAACAGGCTCTCTGAATAAGCAAATCCATAAATGCAATAAATAACTTACTGCAAAATCCTAAAGTCTTATTAAAGATTCCGTTTACACACAATCACAGATGATGAAGTTCTTCTTCCTGGCCTGTATATGTAATAACAGTCCTTGAAATTCTTTGTTTTTCAAGGCACAAGACAGGGAAATTGTAATGCACAAATGGCTGCTGCTGATGTTGTTTCAATGCAGCTGACCTTTTGACGAAACTCATTAAGCAATAAGTTGGTCCTAAATAAGTAGGAATGATTTATGCATAGAGCTGCAGAAAAATGACGTAGTATAAATCTACTGAAAACTAAACAGAGAAATCAGCTTAGTACAGTCAGTGCACTAATGCTGAATCTAGATGCAGAGTTACAATAGCCATTAGAATATAAACTGTGCAGCCTGGTGGCTCACTTCATTACAATCCCCAGGTCAAGGATTGTCTAAGATTATATATACAGTGCATTCATATGCATGCATTAAGGTACATGCACACACATGTGATGTGAATATATTGTACTTCACAGAATATCTCAGTAATGAGCTTATTACGGCACTGCTGTCTCAGGTACAGCGAGAAATTGAAGAGCCCTTTAGATCCTGAGAGCACCGGCCTGTTGGCTACCAGAGCGATTACACAACCTCCATCAGACACTTCCTCGGCTGCCAATGTGTTGGGTGTAGCACAACAGAATGGGCTGATATGGGAATATTGATGCAAGCAAGGTTCTTTATGACCCTGCTGTAAACAGGCAGTGTGGATGTCACAGTACCTTGAGGGCATGTCTGTGATTGAGAGTGGAGATGGGATCACAGCCAGCAACAGATTAGCCGACAGGGGAGGCAAAAAATAACCTATGAGATAAAACACAGTGCCAGAGGAGAGATTTAACATTAATATGTAAACGAGTCCAACTTTCAGAAGGAAAACTTCAAAAGGTGGCGTTTCAAATAAGAATGCCTTGACTTTTTTCCGCTTCCACCACAACAATGGTACATAACAACTGTCTATCTTCCGAATAAATACATAATTTAGACCCCTCCTCAAATGTCAGGTATTACTCCAAACTTTGTCACTGCTGCTAAAAAAAATCATCCAAACTGATTGACTTTTTAAATGACCCCTTTAAGAGCAATGCTGTTGACAACCAATGGACCTTGGTGCAGCCACACAGGCTGAGCCAAAAAGGCCTTCCAAGCACAGCCGACATTGCGTGATGTTCTGACTTAATTGCCATTTAGTTAACACTCCATTATTCATTTTGACATTCACTTCTTGATCGTAATTTTCTGTTGGATGGAGGGGGGGCGGGTGTTTTGCTCTCACTAATCACTCAGACTGATGCATCAGTTCTCCTGATGTAATTTTCATCAGACACTGAAGCTGTGTGACTACAGGATAGAAGCTTCAAGTTCATCATGTTTGCTGATGTAATAAGATCACTTGTCTATAACAGAGCAAAATGGAATTAACTGGTCACTATTTTATGTCACTTTCCAAATCAGCATGGCTGTTAAGCCAAGGCTATTTAATTTTCTTCTCATTAAGGCCGTCAAGGTAGAAGTATTGAAAAAGTTTTACTTTTTGATGATGTCCAAAGGACCCTATTTATAAACTAATAAATTAAACTCTTCAGAATCTATTCTGGAGAAAAAGGAGCAGTCAAAAAACTCTTTTCTCTCAAAGAAATGCCTTCAGTGCAAGGTGGGGTTCATACTTCAGAGCTGTTCCTGGTTATTTCCGTTGCAGGCTGAATCACTCAACCTGTTTTATTGTTGCTACATATATTTGGATTCTGGCTTTGGCACAGTTAGATGACCTTCTTAACCTTGGTCCCATCTATAAAGGCACTGAGTGGCTCAGAAGCGCCTCCATTGTTGGGGGAAAGACATTAATGCGAGAAACACCAGACCTTTGAAACACTGTAAAACTTTAAATGCAGAAATTCAGAAGCCTGGTGAAAGGCCATGACTAATACTGAATCAGCGGATGTACTTTTACTTGTATAAATATAAAGTAGCTGCACAATGTCTTCCAGTAAAATACTCGACTAATAATCAGCTTAACTTTACCCAAAAATATGCTTTTTTTATACAAGTTTAATAATTATGAAATATAACTAGTTTTTAGCTACACTAAGCAGTTTTTTACACCCAAAGGCAAATAGAAAAAATAAAAAATACTAGACATACCCTTTCTTATTAATTGTGTAAACTTGCTTGCCGCTTTCCAAGTTCAAATCAAGGTTAAGTCAAACCTCAATGTTACAGCTGCTAGTAAAGCAATTGTTTAGGGTAGCATGCCACTACAATACACCTCTAACCTGAGATGACCTGCAGATACAATTCAGGGTCAAACCATTAGCATAGTCAATAGTAGAGGGGTAATGATGCTTCACAGTGAGCCTTGTTACAACCACTTGACCTTGGTCTGTCCTTCCCTCTCTTTCATATAATCCACATCAAGGCTGGTACTTGCTGCTGTCCATATCTCATGTATAGTGTCCCTCCCCTCTCAGACATCAATCCCCCAATTCAGATGCCATCTCTTCTAGGCCCCTCTCTATCCAGCTACAGACACAGAATAAAAGCCTGGGAAATCACATTACTTTGTCCGTATGGAGCTTCTATTGGATTAGGTCAGCGAACACTCAACTGTAATTCTGCTATCGGAGAGAAGAAGAAAGTGAATTGAGCACACCAGTCAGCACAGCTTGACAAATTGTGGCTTGTGGTCATTTTCCAAATGTTACTCTCTCCGAGCCACGTTTAGAGAGATGGTAGGACACTTCATGGAGTTGGAAGATGAATGACTTTGATATACAACCAATAATATGTGTACAAGAAAATCTATGTGTCGGATAGAAAGCAGGAATCACAGGAAGACCTGTACAACTGAGTATGACCTCTACTTGCTTTGACCTTAAAGGCACCATCGTGTAGCATCGGAGAAAAATGACACAACAGTCTGCCTCTAAATCAATGCTGGGTGGGTTACTGCTCTTTTGTCGGTATCAGCAGAGAGCAGACATTTAATGACACAACAAGATGTCTCCTTTATTATCCACTTCTCATCAGAGAACAAAATAAATCCTGGGGGGTAAACAGGGAAAGCAACCTAACATGCATGCTTAAGAAGACTTGGAGTGATGAAGAGCTATAATCTGGGAAAACAATGTAATTAAGGATTCTTAATGAAGACAAATGGGCCATAAAAATAGAAATTCCACTATTTGATGTGGAAGAACTTTCCATCTGATCAAATGTGCTCTTATGCTGCAAAATCTTAATCATCCTTTTGGGAAAGTGGCTCAGACGAAGGACAGACAAGCACATTCTTATCATACTAAACTATGTACGTCAAGGACAAAAAGCATGCCCAGCGTATGTGTGTAAGCGCACCTTCCAGACAGTGTGCGATAGTTTGCGTTTAAGCACATTACTGATCAGCAACGTATGTGTTGTGTATATCTGCAACTATACCATGTGCAGCTTTGCCTGTATGTGGTAGTGCAATTGTTTTATCAAGCACTGACAAAGTGTCAACCACTGTGGGTGAGAGGAAAGACAGCAGAGAGAAGATTGCTGCCCTCCAGCTTGCAGCAGCACAGTCATGACTATACTATCTGGTGATTACACTGCCACTCTTCTCTCCACATGGAAAGAATATGAATGGGTACGCCACAACAGAGCTCGCTCACACGGCCAGGCAGCTTGAGTCTGACACTGCAGGGTGAGCGTATGTGTTCACTAAAGTTAAATTACCACTCTTAAATTTTAAATAGAACCCATTTTCCAACAAGTGTTCTGAAGAGTGTTGAGGTCTCTTGAAGTAAATGTCCAATTTCTTTTTCTTGGACAATGTTTGGCTTGGATGGACCTGAAACTCATTATGTTTGAATCCTTGAAAAAAAAGTAGTACTAGCTGTTACTTCAAAAGTCTGATGCTGCGTTTATGTGCTTCTTAGATGGTCCAAGTTTCCGAGTTGGGAAGTCGTCCTTCTGAATTAAGTGTGTTCACACGCTACCAGTGCTTAAAGTTTTCAGAGCATTTAAAGTGTGTGTTTGGTGTTTATTCAGCCGCTCTTAGCACTAATACTTAAACATCTCAGCCCACACTGTTCAGAAAGGTAAAAATGTTGCTGCTCCATGCAGCCAGTCATAAACAAGATGGAGCAGGACTCATCGCCCAGGTAGGTAATTAGCACTCACTGATGCTTGAATGACGAAGAATCTTTTGCTGGATGGATGGATGGATAGATGGATAGATACTTTATTGATCCAGAGGGAAATTCAAGTAGACTTTAGTAGACTTTCATCCCTCAGCACTGTAAGGAGAGGGATTCTCCTCTAAATGGAATAGAATAGAATAGATGTTAATTGCTATTTGCACAGGTTCAGGACAGTACAGGTACATTGGAATTCTTGTGCGTTTCTCCCTGAGTCAATACAAGCAAACATCACTGAATTGACGTTCTGGTGTTACAGTTATAAGATTGAAGGTAAACGTGTCGAGATATGAAAATGAAAAAGCCTGTGCTGCAGTTCTATAGTGTTTTCAATGGCGGCTGCCACTCTCCTAAACTCTTTTGCCACCCAGCCCTCCGGATTGGTCACGTGACTGAAAGCTTTGAATCGGTCCTACCGGTATATAGGACAAAGTCCATGTTTTACATTAAATAATGAGGTATTAAAAGTGCGCCTTAGTTTATTTTAATATTAATATGTGATGATATGTGTGAACTTACAAAACACTGCATGTTTCACAAATAGGGAAGTTTAGACAGGTTGATTGACAGTAAGAGAGAGGTCAAAGTCAGTGTCTCAACCTGCAGAGTGTTTGCTGTGAGCTCTAGTACTGCACAATACTGACTGTCCGAAACACAACACCATGATAGGAAAACCTGAAAATACAGACATCTTTGCAGACAAACCCCCCCCCCCCAACATACATCAACTAGGTTCAACTGGGTAGAAAAGTGCATTTACTTTGTATTACAGGGACTGCCAGCGTGGGCCCTAACACATCAAATTGTATTCTCTGCTCACTTTTATTTTTCAGTAAATTATGTTGTGAATGGTAAAGTATCGCAATATGTATGGTATCATGACTCAGGTATCATGATACGTATTGTTTGATTTATAGTTGGGAAAATTAATCATTGTATTACATTTAGGTCATATTTTCTAACCAGCCAGCATCCTGTTTTTTGGTTACTCTGCATACCGAGTATACACAGCTGATACACCCACTGTGACTAAAGTGTTATGAAATGATTCATCCTCTTAGTTGTCATTCTGCCTCCTCTTCTAAACCTAAAATACTTCCTAGTGTACATGAATCAGCAAAGCATGAACAAACCTTTGCCTTTCCAATTAAACTTGCCCTAAATTTTCATGGTGTGCTGCTCTACACTAAGCAGGTATTTTTCCAACACCATTTTGTCAGCGAAAAACATCCTCCCCAGATTATGATCCAATAGTATACACAAAAGCTGTGATGCATAGCGGTATTCACTCACACTGTGCTGAAAAGAATGTTAACCTCTTTGACAACTCTATTTACGAACCCATGACTTTTTTTTATTTGTAATGTTAAGTTAACAACAAAACCCCCTCATCTCCTCTTACTGGAGCTCTATGTGAAACTCTGTTTCAGCTCTGCAACTTAAATTGCCTTGCTGGGAAACAGTATTTATAGCTAGGAAATGGAAAATGTGCAAGTGAATTCAACATGTGGTCTGAATTTCCTGTTCAAACTATTTTTAAGTATCGATTCTGAAAAAGTCCCAGGGTAAAAAAAAACCGACACCATTCACATATTAAAGGATTATTCAACTTATTAAAACTAAATGAACTCAGCAGTCATTACGTCTTTGTACATTTATATTGATTCCACGATGGCTTAATATTCTTGTACTAGTCTGTGAACTAACTTGGCATTTTGGCGACGTGGAAGCTCGGCACAGCACAAGTTAAAGAGCCCATATTATGCCCTTTTTGGGGTTCGTATATTTAATCTATGTATCTACTTTTGTACGTTCACAATAGATAAAATCCGAAAAAAGTGTCTGTTTTCATGAACTGCTCCTCCTTGCTCCCTCTACGCTCTGAGTCTGTCAGCTACGCTCTGTTGAGCCCACACTGTTAGACCCCACGTGGGCCAAGTCTGCTCTGATTGGTCTGCCGATCCGCTCTGTCGTTATTGGTCAGTTGCTCAGCACGCTTCTCGGAAATTTCAACATGAGCTGCTGGGCTTGCCACAACGAGCCAATGGGCTTAGATCAGTGATCTCACACTGACAATGACACCACACTGACAAATTTTTACCGAGGGGGGCTAGAACCGAGCATTACACGCGGCTAATGCTACAGCTAACAGGAGGACGTAGGAGAAGTCGCGTTTCCGCAGACATTAAAGAGCATATAAAACCAGAAAAAGCATAATATGGGACCTTTAAGATCACCATAAACACAGACAGACATGCACAAATGCACAGCGCTGTGCTCCCCTGTTGGCTCAGCTCTTCACGCCATCTGAACAGCCTCTGTTACTACCTCCTGAAATGTTCACAAAGGCGTAACGTGTATTACCTGCTCGTTTTGAAACTCACACTTTTACAATTGTAGCCTATACTCAATGCAATTAGTCAGGCAAAGTTGTGAATGACCCAAACAAATTGCAGCAGAGAAGGCCAATGTAAATTCACACAAGTGACGTCATAAGTGTGTAATATCTTTTCAGGTTTTTCAATAAGCAAGAAAAAGGTCAATCATTGTTTTTATAAAGAAAAAAAAGATGTTATACTGTATAAATATTTTTAAACGAAGGGAGGGTTGGTGGGCCTTTGACTTTTTCTTCCACCACACTGACGTATTATATCCTTTCATTAAACTAAGTCAACGGATTTGATACTTGTTTTTTGTTTTATATTTTGCACCTAAACACTGACAAATTCGTAATGTGCAGCCAGTGATTAAGGCACTACCTATAGGAATCCTGGGTCCATATTTATGACACAGGAACACTTGTTTGTGGATGTAGGGAATATGGGCAAGACATTTGAAAAATACAGAATAGAACCCAGGCTTGGTGGAATCCATATATGAGGTTTTCTGTGGATCATGGAAACACATTTACACTTGGGGGAAGTGACTTGGATAAATGATATAGTTAATAAGAATCAATGTGAGGATTTGTTGTTGTACCAAAAGGTTTTCAGCTCTTAGACTTGCAGGCACATTTCCTGACACCAAGGAGAACATCAGGCTAAAGTTAGATGTCTACAGTATAAATGAAGGGGAGGCTATGCCTTGCTCAGCCATTTCTTTACGAACGAGAAGAAATACTAACCTTGGCTGGTCAATGTGCACTTTAGAGAAATGTTCATGTCTGACAAGGATAAATACAACGAGTCTAATTGTGGCTCTTTAATCACTCATTGATGTAAGGGACAAATCTTATATGCATTGATACGTGGGTGGTTGCCTAAAATCCTGACCTTAAGCTACAAGGCAATCATTAGTTCAATGTGTTGCAATGCAGAAAGATCAGCTTCTCAAAAATCCCTGAGTAATACTTTATACTCAAGGGGAATAACATTAGACCACAAGTAAGTGAGCAGAACGAGATGCCCATGTTTCACCTGAGGGTGATTCCTAAAAATGGGCCCCACAGGTATTTCACTTTTTGTTCCATTAGCGACCCATATAACACACATGGGACTGATACCAAGCTCACACTGGTCCCACATGGACATGTTGACAAGATTGTTTACAAAAGATGGAAATGTGGAGCAGGACACGGGCTAATAGGTGTATCAAAATAGGATGCTTGGCCGTTATAGGGAAAAAGCATCTAGGCCTGAAGGATACGTCTCAATTTACAAGTCCATTAATGTGCTCATTTTCAGGTATGATCATACGCTTGGTAAGGGACTGAAATGATACGATCGTGGATTCAGGCATCTGAATTGAAATCCCCTCAGGTTTTCTGCGCATTCCCTCAGGAACAGGGTGAGGAGCTGTGATGTACATGGAAAAAAAAATCAAGTTTTGAAATGCCTCACAGTGCAGATATTCTAGCACAAACAGCAGTCAGTAGTTCCTATCATACAATACTTCTATATTTGCCTTCCAGGAATGCCCTTGTGGCATAAAGAAACTGTAACAAAAAAATGCATGAAATTAGGTCTGCTTTTAAATACTCAGATAAAGGATTTGTTTAAGATTGTCACCATTGTCACATTCTTTGTCTGTTGGTGTCAGGAGCAATATTTGTATAGACTATCAGTGAAAAAAATGGATCGAGCTCTCTCGTTACACCTTTCCATCAAGTGCACAGTCATCATAGTCTGACCATCTGTTTATTGCAGGAGTTTTGCTGTAATGACTCTTCAGTCTCTTGAGCTGTGACCTCTGAGATGGTGTGGAGAAGAGAGCAATCAGAGCCTATTCAATTCTGCAACAGTCATTTGCCCACACTCCAAAAGCTATCACTGGGTGCAGCTGTAAACATTTTGCTCCTCAGCACCCATGAGACTTGCTGTCAAAGAGGATAGCAGCTATCAGTCTCTTTCACAGAGGAAGCCCGTGTGAATACACTCTGCGAGCTGAATACGGTGAAGAGCGCAGGATACACAGAATAGTCCTTGGAGCTGAAATCAAGCCTAAAAACATCATTATTCAGAAGGCAAAGGGGTGTACTGCGGGGGTATGCAGAAGAATTCCCTCAGCCTCTGCAGTTGAGATGTAATAACCTTGCAATTTATATGTCTATGAGCAAGCCAAGTTGTTTGTTGTCCCCTCTCAAAGGCACACGAAGACACAAAAGCGCAATCCTTTTGAGTCCAGCGGTCCATTTGAGCTTTTTGGTACCTGCTATTTAAGGGAAGTCTATTTATATTCAGCTGGTGTGTAAACTGAGACGCTGATCCTCCCTGCTGGCTGCAGAGCTCCTTTTTACACAGAGGATACCTGGATTGAATTGACAGCAATAATAACAAAAAAATGCAGGACTGTTTTCATCCTGCTCCTGTGCAAAAGCTCTCATATATTATTGGTGAACACTGCCACCTTGTGGACCTTCATTTTTTTTGGATTTTCTTTTTAATTGTGCTAAAAAGCCTTGGATTATTATTCATTCATTTATTCATTTTCATATGAGAGAGAGTGCGTGCGCGTGTTTGGTGTGTGTTCAGGGCGTTATTAGCATTATTATGTTAATAAAGAGACTTAGTGTTCCCCTTCACATGACTATTTTTGTACCATGACATGCAATATGAGAAGACATCAGCAAACTCTCTCCCTCTCCCTCTCTCTCTCTCTCCCTATCTCTCTCTCTCTCTCTCTTTTTTACATGCGTTAATGAAAAAGTTATCCTGGGGGCGATAAGGAAAAATCTTAAACTCACTCAGACAGAAAAATGTTTGCTCGATCTCGTTGTGATCTTTGACAAATCTAAAAGGGCTGACCACTGGTGTCAGACAAGTTTTTTTTTTAGGCTGCAGCTCCTCAGATAGTCACCAGCAGCTGTTGTGAATGTTTTTGAGAGCACGAGGGTGCATGTCGGTACTTTCCTATTCATCTGATCACAAAACTTTGTCTGGTAAGCCATCAACTGTCTGTATTGCTTTGAATGGATTGACCACTGCCTCTTCTTAAACAAAATGAGAACACTGGCTGGTGATAATAGTGCTGAGGAACAACATTAGATTCAGAGGTAAAGCCTTAGAATAGCAAACAGGATATGATTACATGCTGTAGACTGCCTGTTGTGTGCAGTAGGCCGTCCTAGGCAATTTTTGTTCTAGTGAGAATTTGTTGGTGCTAATATATGTGCAGCTAATCAATTCTGTGAATCCCCGCAGGAAATCACAGTCAAAATGACTCTTCAGTGGACAGCTGTGGCTTTCTTCCTCTATGCAGAGATAGCAGTCAACCTTATCCTGTGTATACCCTTCATCTCAGCAAAGAGGTACTGCAGAATAGCAGCACAAAACTCAAACAAAATGAGTGAATTCATGACACATTGCAGGTCCAGCGTATACCTCAGTGGAGCTGGACATTGGTTCGTTTTGATATTTGTTTTTACTAAAGAGAAAAAAAAACATTAGTCTGTGTCTATTTAAGTATCCTGTACAGTACCTTCAGTTGTGACAGAGCTTTTTCACAGTGTCTTTTCTCCCTTGGCAACACATTTAGTCTGCGCAAACTGCTCAACTGACACACATTTGTCTTTGTCAATTCAATTTTAAACTACATTTCTGTCATTTTGTTTTTCCTGTCAACATGATGAGTTGTCTGACTGTGTTGTCATAGCTGTGGTTGTGATGTGTCGCCTGACTGCATTGTTTTACATATTATTATGATGTCGTCTGACTACGTTGTTGTCCATGTCATCTTTTTTTTGTATAATTTGACTGAATTGTTATACGTGTTGTTATACTTGTCGTCGTATGAGCCGCCTGACTGCATCCTTACACCTGAAATTCTGACGTGTAGTCTGACAGGTGTCCATATGCCTGTCCATCTGATGTGTCATTTTAATGTGTTGTTACAAAACTTTGCTATTGTATGATGTCATACTGTGTTGTTATAGTGCAGTGCCACACTGTGCTGTTGCAGTATGCATCACGCCGTGTTCTTATAATCTGTTTTTACAGTGTTGTCACAGTGTAGTGTTGTCACAGTGTAGTGTTGTCACAGTGTAGTGTTGTCACAGTGTAGTGTTGCAGTGTGTGGTGCCACTTTGTTGTCACTCTGTGTTGTTACAATTTTTTGTCACTATATTGTCACAATATGTGGCTATATTGAGTTGTCACTTGTCAAATTGTGATGATAAAATGTTTGCACAGTGTTTTGCTATACTCGACTATGTCATTATTCCTGTTGTCTTGATGTGTCTTCTCACTTTGCGGTGAGAAGACACCTGTACCCCTGATGTGTCATCTTTAACTGCATGGTTCTGCCTGTTGTTTTTATGCGTTCACTGCATATTAGACCTGTCATTCTGACACTGTCTGACTATGTCATTATACATGGTGTCTTTATGTATCGTTTGACTACGTTTATACATCTGTCGTCTTGACGTGCCGTCTTGTGTCTTTATACAGGTCTAGTGCTATGTTTGATCTGGATACATCTGTACACATCTGCATCGTTTTACCCGTCATTCAAATGTGCCATTTTGATTTGTTGTCTGACTGAATCATTACACCTGCCATTTTGATATTCTTTGTTATACTTCATGCGTTATGATGTGCCATCAACCTAGGCATCAAGATGACAGGGAGTACAACAAAACATCCAAATCTAGTGTTAAGTATAACTGACAAACATAAATGTGTTGTTAAGGGAGAAAATACAATGGAAATATTTCTGTCACAACTGAAAGTACCAGTATTTTTATTTTTTTTGATATTTTCCTTTTTTTATGTGTTTGTATTTTTCTATTTTCCTGATGATAAACATAGTATTTGCCCAGCACATAAGTAAAATCTTTTAAAATTCCCATGCAATACTTTTATTTTAAATAGGAAAATGTAAATTGTCAGTTCACTCAAATAACCAGCAGAGAACAGTCATGTTCAGTCTTTGCACATCTTTATGATGACTGTAATACTCACTGTGTCCTTTTGACCTACTTTCCAGATGGCGTTCGGTTTTCGGTCTGAAAATATGGAATTGGTTATCTCCATATTGGAACAAATGCTTCTTCACAATGATCATGGTTCTTATTGTTCTCTTCTTTGGTAAGCAATCACAGACTATCTGCAGACAATGACAGACATTGAACAATACTAAATAGACTAACAGTTTGTTGTCAGTCCAACCAGCATCAATCATGTTTCTGTCCCCCTGTGGACCCTCAGATGCTGTCCGCGAGGTGCAGAAGTACTCTGGGCCTGAGAACATGCAGGATGCCAAGGTGAACCCAAATGTGTACGACCACGTCCACATGAAGCTGTTCAGAGCCCAGAGGAATCTCTACATATCTGGCTTCTCTCTCTTCCTCTGGCTGTCAGTGTCCTTTTTTCCCCACATTTATTCACAAAACTGAATATTATGTTAGGTACCTTACTCAAACATTACTTATTGACCATCTTCGTTTCACCCTTGCCCAATTCACTTTCTAAAATATGGACATATCTTGTCTTTGCCTGTCCGTCCTTCTTTTGGTTTCTCTTTCTTTGTCCTGTGAACATAGGATCATGCGGCGGGTTGTCACCTTGCTAAACCAGGTTGCTGTCACCTTGGAGGGCTCTGCAGGTCTTCAGGCGCAGATGGACAGTGCTGTCAAAGCAACCAGGCAGCACCAGGAGGACAACCTGATGCTCAAACAAGTCAGACTTAATCAGAGTTTGTTAACAGAGTTTAAATATGCTTTTTTATGGTTATGGTCTTAAAGTCTTTTCTATCAGATTGTTCCACAATTGACCAAATTCACATATTAATTTACGCCGAAATCACTCACAGAGTGGGATGCTTAAATGTTTTAATGACATTTGCTGTGTGTTAGTTTGTTAAATGTGTAACTTTAATGAATCTGACAAACACTGGTTATTGCAAGGCTTCCAGATTGAACCTGAAAACAGCATTTGAACTTCCCACACTGAATGTAATGTCAGATGAAAATGGCTGATGTTATGGTGAATGTGTCATCTGTTGTGAATATCGTACTATGCTCAGGATAACATCTGTTTTCTAAATCACTGTATTTTTCACTCACTGTTGTTTCATTAATGTGTAGTTTGTATGTGCTCACATGTCTGCTGTTAGTAATTTAAGAGACCAATTTGTCCTCAGGCTCTCCTGGATGAAGAGAGGTCCATGTCAGTGAAAAACCAGCGACTAAAGCTGGAGGCTGAGAAGCTGGCAGAACAAGTGAAGGTTGCTGAAGAGAGTGAGTACTGAACCCGACATTCATACAAAATAATATGCAGTATTACTTTTTCTTACTTTAACTTAAATGAGATGCTTTGACAATGAAATAGTTTTCATGATGTTTTTTTTACATTAGCAGAGCATAGACTACATGTGACTATACTGGCATATAAACACGAGCTGTGGTTTTATTAACAGTGCTTACTTTAAGAGACATTGATTATATTAAGTATGGGCTAATGTACAGCTGTTATGCTGCTGATTCTCTGTAGCTGTGCGCAAGTCTAATGCTGAAGTCGAGGCCATGAAGAGGCAGGCTAAAGGTCTGGCACAGGAGTATGACAGACTATTGAGGGAACACCATCAACTTCAGGTAAAATCACAGATTCAAAATCACTAAATACGTATGTTTGTTAAGCCAACTAATACAGTGTTGTTCTGTTTATGACTTTTTTTTTAATCCACAGAATCCCCAGAGTGCTGCAGACAAAAAGGATCAGTAACTCTGTGAAAGCTGAAACTCTTGTTTGTTATATTTCTTCCATGGAAACCTTTTCTCCTCAATTCTAGTGGATGCAAGAGGCCACCAAAGGCTGTGCTTTTAATCCTCCACAACTTTCATTTTACATTAAACTAAAGCAGATTTGTTTTTAAATGATAGCATCTAATAATCATTTATCAGTCAGAAGAACAAAAGCATTAACAGTTCTCGTGTTGTAAAAACCTTCCTCCTAACGCCTTCATCATGAGCAGGAAATATGTCTGGACTTTACCTTTAAATTGATATAATAACAAAAATAAAAGTGTACAAATTAGTTGACATTTTGTCTCAGGGTTTTAGACGTACAGTGCTAATGCTAACATTTGTACAGAAGCTAAAGAGCAATTGTTTTACTCTGAGATTCGCAATGAGTTATTCTTTTGAGTATGACACGCTTCTTTTTTAACAGGTAGTAAATTCATACAGAAAATGCTTGTGACCTCTCTTTCACTGACTTTGCCTTTTACATTTATTAAGCACCCTGGAGTGGTAGAAAACCCTCATAACATATCATTAGACTTTCTGTTGTATGAGTTTAACTACAGGTATTCTTGGCATTCTGTAACTTGACAGTTTTTTCGTATATTGTAAAAGGCATGAAAATGAAAAATAAACAAAATCCCCTGATAGTGTGTCTCTGTCTCTGAGAAAGCTGGTACCACATTTACTATCAATTTTGAAATTAAACGCAGTTTAATGACATACACTCTACAATCATGTACTTGTAGTAGTTTATCTAAAGAACCACTATAAAAGCAAACAGACATCATACATTACGTGTAAGAACGATCAGTGTCTGTGATGCATATTATCATGACCAAAGAGACCATGTAGCATTGTCTTGAATTATTTATGTGATGATGTAACTGATGGGATCCTTACTGTTTCATTGGGACTCTGTATGTCGGATGATCTCTTCGATGAGCTGCTGCTCCTGCCAAAAACATTTTATCTGTATGTTGTCCATATTTATTGTTGGGGGAAAACCCGTAATTACCTCAGTGCAGCCATATTCACAATTTCTCCACTAGGCGTTCTACAACCTGCAAGATGTCTTTATCAGGCACTTCAACATACATTAAACCCTGTATTTTGATTTTAGCAAATTTATTCATAAAAATGAAGACAAACGTTATAAAATACAGCACAGTTACATTTTTTTTTTATCTACAAAAGGTTGCAATTCATGAAAAACACAACATAAATGTATACATTCCAGAAATAAAAAAAAAGCTGTATGTCTACATAGACCCTGTACAAATATTTACTTATGCTGTGAAAAGTGTCCACAGTGATTCTCTGTACATGCGATGTGCTCTACGGAGCTCGTTCAAAAGAGACGAGGTTGTGCTGAGGCTCATAAGCGCGTCTCTCTGTCGGGATTGCGGTCCGAGACGGGTATGAACTGCTCACAGTGTGTGTAGCTGTTGTCCTCTTTCTGCAGTGTCTCTAACTCTGCATTCCCATTGGTCAGAGCGTTTTTCTCCTGCCTCTTAATATGCCTTTTCAGTAGAGCAAAGCCTGGAATACAAAGGAAGAAGGAGACTGTCCTCAAGCCCAGCGTCAGGCCCAGGTACACTGTCCTGCAAAAGAAAAGAAAAACAAGGTGGGGATAAACTTTGAAAGAGTCAAGTTACAAGTTCCTGAGAGGAGCTTACAATCCCAGCCTCAGGTTTTTCGCATCACATTACAAGTCATGATGCAGGTGTAGATGAATGCTGATACTATTTTCTACACATTTCTGTCTCTATTTGTACTTCAGTGGTGAAGTACTAATACTAATGCACCTTCTTTTCTTATATTAGGGTAGCTTGTAGAGCCACCACCTGCCACCTCAGTAAACTAAGAGTCTCATTTAGGGCATCTTCATGATCTGCGTCCTTCATAAGTGGCATTTGGAGACAGCAAACATGGCACTGATGCTAGAGCCATGCTAACTCACAGGTTATATTGGTTTACACTGTACATTTAGTAAAGGGTCTAGTAATAGCAATACACACCTATTTTTTTCTCATCCATCTAATAATTTATCTACAAAAAAGACACGTAACAGCCTGACAGTCCAGCAAGAATGTTAAACGATGCATCAATCTTGTTTCAAAGTGAACTCTAGTGTTTACCAGACAACCTTGTGAATAATGCATACAGAGTTTTATAACACAGGTCCTATGGATCAAATTACCTGTAAGATGAGGTGTTATATATTCTGCACGCTCCTCGTCCTGCACACATCTTGGATCCCCACTTGAGGCACGTTGTGTCGATTATTGCTCCAAAGTATATAGGGGCAGGTATTCCAGCTGTGGTGCAATTTATATATTTGTTTACAAGTTGTTAATTCAAATAAAGGGACGCTAAAGGCTGAGACACAACAATTTAAAAACATTATAAAACATGAACAAATGGATATGAGTTCTGCTCTCAATAAAGATATTAAATCAAAAATAGGTAACTTAAACAATGGTAGATAAAAGTTTCAATCCTTTACATTTTGCTAACTATTGAATGATGAGTTATTTCATTATTCTGATTTGTTGTCATTTATGTTTTCTATTCCAGTGCCTTTTCTCACTTCATACAGTGAACTGAATGTCAGCTTTCAGGAGATTTCTGCCTTCTTGCCATGCACACTAAGTAGAATATAAGTACAGAATACCAAAGATGGTTCTCACCGAGGGTGCGAGTGGCCAACGTGTGGATTCCAAGAGCAAGAGATTTCAGCTCTGGCTTAGTGGACCTACAAACACAAAACTGAGAGGTTAAAGGAGCCTCTACTTTGACATCTCAAACGTTTTTTTATGGACAATGCTTTGCAGTTTTTGTACCGGAAGAATAAAAAAAGGAAAACAAAGATTACAAATTAACGTTACACGGTTGAGATGATTGAAGATAAAAAAGAAAAAAAAACGTTCTTATTAAGTTGAAATAGTTCAACTGATGACACTGTTTCACATGAAAGTGCAAACGCAGTTTATATAACAGCAGGGATTATTATCTGTCGTAGAATGGACAGATGATGTGTTGTTATAATAAGAGGAATGTGTCACACAGGGTTTTTTTTTTTTTCCAACAGACCTGACTAGCAGCACAAAGCCAGGTGTTCCCCCGAGAGAGATGATGAAGGAGCTGACGACACACAGAGCCAGGAAGTATGGAAAGATTTTGTCACAGCTGTCCTGGCGTGGACACTGGCCCAGAGTCGCCGTCAGGTTGCCTGTTTGGGTTTCAGCCAGCGCTACACAAGTGCAATTATCAAACACCTAACACAGAAAAAAGAACAAGTTCATCAATAATAGATGAGATGTAGCACCACTTAGGAAACCAGTCCTGCATGTACAACCTACTTGTCATGTACTACACTGTAGATATCAGTAATATTAGTCTGGTCATGCTATATGCAAATGTGTCACAAGCATGTTTATAATTTGTGTTGTTCACGGAGAGGGCCGTATTTAAGCATGCAAAGTGATGTGAGCTGGATGGTCATCATAAGTGTTTCATGAGCAGGCTTTTGATGATTTTTTTATGCTCTGAGTCACAAATCGCTCTCATGTAAATGCTACTGCACCTAAATGACAACCAGGATTCCTGCAAGTGTTTGTGGATTATAAAGACAAACATTGATTTCAAAGAATAATGGGCCTTCTTGTAAATTCTATGTTTTTTCCATGGTGCTTTATTTATTTCATTTATTTATTTTGTTATAAAGTCAATGTGATGGAATTGGAGACAGTAGGAGGATGTTGGAGAATGCAAATGCATATGCCTGCAGCCATTAATATGTAGACTCCGACTACTACAATAATTGAATCTGTCATACTTGTATCATTATCTTTTTTACATCTTTATGTAGTTCGTATTGCTATTATTGGTCACATTTCTAGTAGTATTATTGGGATTCTGTTCTCATTTTCACAGTGTTATTCCTAAAATAAGTCATATTTCTACTTTAGTTATTCACACTGTAACTTTATATCTGTATTATCTTCTGTTTTTGTTGTTGTGTTTACTTTTCCTTCTCTGTCTCCCTGTCTGTCTGCTTGCCTCCATATGTATCTCTCTGTCTCTCCCTCCCTCTATTCCACTCCTCAACCCATCAGGTCATGGCAGATGACCATGGATCTAGTTCTGCTTGAGTACAACGTAGAGCTGCTTTATATGTTACGTGTCAACAGTAGCTCAGTCTGTGGGCAATTGGGTTGGGAACACAAGGTTTGCCAGTTCATTAACCGTAAGGATCAAAGTATGGAAATTGGTCTGGTTTCTGGAGAGGTGCTGGTCCATTTCCTTTGTACAGTGTTCTTGAGCAAGGCACCAAAATCCCCAACCGGTCAAGAGCATCCCCTGTGTGCATCTACATCACTCTGACATCACTCATCAATGCATGTCTATAGGTTCCTTTTTTGTGCATGTGTGTATTTTGGGCCTATGTGTGTGCATGAGTGTAAAACCAGAATTTCCCATCAGGGATCAATAAAGTATATCAAAAAGTGTCATGCCGATAAAAAGCTTTCATTTAGAGATCTATAATTATGCCATGGAGTCGATTGTGTGTGTCTAACCGTATTTCTGCCAGATCCAGTGGACGAGGTGCATCCAGCCCAGCATGGGGACATGTATGTGATCCCGTTCTCTCCACACACCGGATCCCACTCCCTCTTTGAGCACAAGCAACCCAAGTTACAGTTGGAAAGGAGAGACTGCTCCTGATTAGACAGGCCTTCCGCTCTGCGTATGACAACATGAAGAAAAAAAGCATATTTTATTGACAGCTCATATGAAAAATGAATCAAATAGGAAGACGCAACCATTCCTGTGCAAGGAATATTAATAAATAAAAGACTTGGAAAGAAAGGCAGCATTCAAAAAATCCTTTTAACTACTCCACTCAGACTCAGGAAAACTGTGTCAAGACTTCACACACCTGCTATATGCAACTGTGATGCCAGCCACCTTGGAGTTCTCACAGCCCATGGCGAAGAAGAAGAGCGACAGGAAGTAGCCCAGTAGGGAGGTCCCGCAGGCAAATTTAGCCGCTCCCATGATACCCAGCTTGTACTTCTTCATGATAACTCCTCCAGAAAACATCCCAAGGGCCACCGCAGGGATGTTGATCATTCCTAGACAATAATGCAGAATACAACAGATCTTAAAAGCATAGACAATCAGAAAACAATAGAGAGAGCCAAAATAAAATATTAAAATCATATGCTAAAGGGGTAAAAGGCAGAACTCTCATTAATATCAAAGTCGCATCATTCATAGTTCATGTATATTTTGATCGTTGAGAATATTTGGAACATAGAATTTACAAGAAGGCCCATTATTCTTTTAAATCAATGTTTGTCTTTATAATCCACAAACACTTGCAGGAATCCTGGTTGTCATTTAGGAGCAGTAGCATTTACGTGAGAGCGATTTTTGACGGAGTGCATAAAAAAATCATCAAAAGCCTGCTCATGAAACACTTATGATGACCATCCAGCTCACATCACTTTGCATGCTTAAATACGGCCCTCTCCGTGAACTACACAAATTATAAACATGCTTGTGACTCATTTGCATATAGGATGACCAGACTAAGCTCATCAGAACAAGCTCAATCATGAATTATCAAAACAGTCTGCTTACCCATGAGAAAATTGGCTTTGGATGCCGACTGGCCGTAGTGCTGCTCGATGTATTTGGGTTTGTAGGTGACCATCCCGATGAGAGAGTTGAACTGAATGATGGTCACACATAAGTAGATGATGTACACCGGGGTTCCAAGGAGACTCTTCAACGTGGGTAGGAATTCTGTAGGGGGAAGTTTATGAACACCAAAACTTAAAACACTTCCTTTATAATGTCAGTCCTAAACATTGTGAAGTTCCCTATTAAGCCCTGTAGGAGTCTTCTTCACATGCAGTTAGTCAACATCAGGCTGAGATACAAATGTCAAGTCAACTTTTTGACACATACATAGGCCTCAAGATGCTGATTTTAACCTTCTTGAGGTCTTGAGTCTTTTTTTTTGGAGGGGGGGGGTTATGCCATTATTTGAGTGACTGGACAGTGGATAAAGACTGACACTGTTGAGAGAGAGAGTGGGGAATGAAATGTAAAAAGGACACACAGGCCAGATTTGAACCCAGGGCCCCCCGCTTCAAGGTATTCAGACTCTGTGCATGGGGCACACAAATGATCCACTAGTCCACCGGCATGCCCCGCTGGGATTCTCTTTTTGATGAATTGAAAAACAGACTTGTGTGACACCAGTAGAATGGCACAATTATAACTTTCTGAATAGTAGAGGAAATTGGACCCCTAAAAGTTGGGATACCCCTTACCAAAGTAGAACAAAGCACAACCGTATTTTTTTCACAACTTTAACCCATGTTGTTTCTTCAAATTATGGTTAAATAGAAATGTTACTGCAAAATAACTTTTATTTGTTTATCTTATTATTAACCAAAAATAGTGAAAATGAAGGCCTCTCCAAAAGGGAGTGTTTCTGACTTACATGTATCTCTGAAAATCAAGACTGGATGTTCACAAACATTTATTACTTACAATAAAGCATTGTTTTTATCAATGCCGTTGTCAGTATTTGAAATGTGCACACATGTGGTTTAGGAGAAAATTGAAAAGTGAAACAAAAACTCAAAAGGTATGCATATAAAAGACTGTCATTCTATAAGTAAGGGAGAAATCATCAAAATATGTCATTTAAATCTTCTTAAGACTGCTATTTTAACATAAAAGCAGTTTAGATGACTATTCACTGCTCCCTCTACTGTCGCCAGCCCCAACAGGAAACAAGTCGAGCCAGCACTTACAATGGAACCACATCGGTCTATACAAAAAATAAAGAAAAAACAACCATAAAAAAGGAAATATTGCTGTAAAATATATTTATACAACCAACTACTTCATAAACAATACATGTTAAAGTTATGAAAAATAAGGTTGTGCTTTGTTCTACCTCTGAGGAATATCAAAAACTAAAGCCTCTTTTGGGTTTTGGGAATTTCTTTTTCTACTATAAAGATACAACTGACAGAGTATGGAGGACTTTCTCCTTTTAATAACTGTGTGTGACATTAATCGTACCTTTGGCCATCTGATGTAAGTTAGTCGGCTCTTCAGGTCTGAATTTGTGCTCCATGCTCGGAGAATCTTTGATGAACCTAGTTTGCTCTGGAGTGCAGCTGGTATCATGTTTCTCCACCGGCATAGGCAGAGATTTAGGCAGGAACCAGAAAGGAACAGCAGACAGGAGGGTGATGATACCAGCTATCAGGTAGCCCAGCCACCACGCCCCCACCCAGCGGGCGTCACCAGGGGTAATAGTCACTGTCTCTGCAAAGAAAAGTATAATTAGCATAGTATGTGGACTCATGCATTCATCCACAGATTCTTGCCTTAAATATAGAGCTGTGGTGAATGTTCAAAAACAAATCTTACAACATGTAAGGATGTTTTCTGACTGGTAGTGTTACACAGGAAGGTTTACAAATGTTTACGTCCAGGTCAGATTAGACTGAATCAAAGGATTTGCGCACATTATCTGTATTAATTACCCGTGTTCCTTTCCTCTAGTCTAGGCAGATACTATGCGCCATGCTGATTTCACTGTCATGTACAATAACTTTCTACAGAGGAGCATGAATGTATTTCTATAACGGGATTATCTAATACAACAATAAAACAGGCACAACGTGGTAATTGAATGTAGCTTATCAGTCAGGTGACAGCGTACCCACCCATATCCACATAGCCGATGTCCACATAGATCTTTGCACACAGCGACCCCAGCAGGTACCCAAACACAGGACCAATGATTGAAATGGTTTGGACACACCCTGGAAATGTAAATACAGACAGGCATTTAAACAACCATTATTTGGCTCTATTCAAACTGATATCATTTTTAAAGATGTATTTAGTAGTTGCCCATTATGTAATAAAGTACATTAAAGGTAATTTTCTTTTGTTGAAAGCCAAACACAAAACTACTTATAGAATCAAGACAACATTCACGTTTCAATAGCTTGTAGTACACTGTGTTTTATTTTACAATATGTTGGAAAAATAGAAGAGTATTGGAAATATTTCTCCATTATAGAACTGAGGTCAGAATTACATACTGTTTTTCTTTCTTTGTTTTCAAAAGTAAAATTACAGAAAAAATGGCAACCTGCATTGATCAAATTGATGATGAAGTGAAGACATTGAGTGCTGTGTGAACCCAACAATTTACAAAGTGAGTACGGTGCATTACCAATATAGAGGGCAGCATTCTCCGATTGTGCATAATCATCAATATAGGAGATTCCCAAAGGCTGCACCGGAGTCTCTCCGATCCCACGCAGGACATTTCCCAGAAACACGTAGATCCACATAGAAACGCTGGACTCTCGCTCACAGCCTTCGGTCACATATTAAACAGAGAGGACATGTGATGTGTTTTTAATTCAAGAATTAAAAAAAACATGGAATATAGAGGACAAAATACAATGAATTGGATTTATGCATTACTATCTTTATATTTCACGACATAATTATTACTCTCCTTAAAATAAGGAGACAGATGAGTGCAGTAAATCACAGATGTTAACGATCCTTGTCCTTTTGGATAAAAAATATTTATTATGATATCCAGATGGCTTAAAATATTTGAGAAATGTGACCATATTCCCCCACAGAAAGGGGTCTACTCTTACCTTTAGAGGACAATATAGAGGGTCGGTCACCTGCCCTGGTGGACTCAAGTGAGCTTGCTGAACATGGAGAGAGGTTATTTGTTGAATTCACTGACGATCTAACTGATGTTTCGATCTTATAGCTGCGTACAAAATACCAATGTGACTGTTAAGCAAGGGAAGGAGAAAGCATCAGGTATTGTTAGATCACTATTTGAGGCACAAATACACACCAGAAATTACATTCCAAAAAGACAAAGTCTTATTGTATAGTCTAAACTCAGAGGAATACCGTGATGTAATTAATAAACCTTAATGCATGCACACAGACATGGCACTCATCCTACCGGCCAATGATGAAGTGAGGCATGGCGATCAAGAAGGTCCCGAATGACATCAGGATACATCCAACTGCTATGATCTTAGGTCGGTGGAGTTTGGCACCAAAGTAGCTCACAAAGGCAATCACCAACAAATTCCCTAAATACAGAGGACATAAAAAATGAGACTTTCTGTTCAGAATATTTTATCATTTTATCATGTCAAGTTACATCACCCCACGCTGCATGTTGGTTACCTGTTTTAATTTTGTTTTTGTTGGGCAAAAAAGTTGGTTAAAATCAAACAAATGTGATGAAGAAGAAGAACAGGATAAATAAAAGGAACCATACTTGGAGTAATTGAAAATGTATCTGTAATTTAAGTATTTTAATCAACACACATCGATGGTTTACATATCCTGAAGCCCTACTTCCACTTCTAGTCATTTTAAAGTTTTTAAATGCTTAAACTCTCTTTTAAAAGATACAAATCTTTACAGGTTCAGGAAATCTTTGCTGGGTGCAAGACCTGCTAATTCACAAGATGACAAGAACAAAGTCATACTCACTAAAGTGTGGTGAAACAATTTTTTTCAGCGCCATTTAAAAAAAACAAACTGAAAGCTAAACATTTCGAAAACATTCAGCCATGTGATGATTTGATTCAGTCGTATACAGTAGGTTTGATTAGCTACATCATGAATAAAACGTTTGCTTTAATCTAATCTGTCGCTAATCTACTGCTCTGTGTGCCTTTAAATTGCCCCCCGGGGACATTTTTTTTTTTTAATTGAATTGAATTGAGTCTAGGACCTTATAAAGGAAGTTTGAGCATAAAAAAACTTCCTTTAGATTTGTATTAAAAATCCCTGCAGTTACACATCTCAGTTATTAAGACTGTTTAGGGTAAGATAGAAGCATCACCTAAGTTATCACTTATTCTAAATGATGCTGTCATGTATTAAATTTTACTTCACATACCATTATTTACATTTTCATAATACAGGAAATGGTCTTCAGTCTAAAGAAAAATGTTTTTTTTATCTTTATCAATAATATTTATAATACATGTTTGTTTATAGATGTGATCTAACCTAGAACCTGATTCAAATTTGCCAAGAAAGAAACATAGATAAAAATATCTGTCAGGTAATTGTATTTCTAGAATTAGAACTACTACATTGAGAGATAGAACATAGTCACAATTAAACCAAAAAACATAATGTGTATACCTATAATATCTGTCCACATGTCAGCACATCTAATCTGGATCACTGTGAACTAGGTTTTCACAGAATATTGGTGACAGATGTTTCTCTTGACTCCACCGCCTGCATGTCATTTACATCATCAACAGCCCTGTCAGACAGCTCTGTAGGTTTTGATCACAGTCGGGGAAAATTCTTATTTATTTATTTATCCAAGGCATATACAAGAAATGTTACATATTCTTCATTCGGTATCCAGTCTGTTGTACCGGTACACGGACCATCACAAAAATCCAATTTTTTTCCAAGCCAACATGTTGTAGCTTCAAAGGGATTTTTCTCATTAAAAATCAATTAGGTATGGGACCATTGTGACTACTTGAAGCTCAAAGGGGATGCATATATGCTATTGTGTGAAGCAGGCTGACATGCTGAGGACATATTTTCGGCTTACTTGCATTAGCATCTAAATGCTTCAAAACATATGCGTGAATAGCCAGTAAATAGAGACGGAGACATGGGAAAAAAAAAGGGATTGAAAGACTAACCTATTTCAAAGCTCCCGTCTATGATGCCGATCAGATAACTGGGAATCTCAAAGCGCCTTTCCAGTTGTGTTATTGTGCTCTTCATGTAGCTGCCAGTTAAAGCTTTGGCAAAGTAGGCAAACGACAAGGCAGCAAGGAACATCTGCAAACAAGAAGACAAAAAAGAAAACTGAGTCAAAAAAAGGTTCTACCGTTGTTATCCTCTTTGTGGCCTGTGACATAATCGTTGATACAAATGGTTCATATTCTAATAATAAGGAATAGGAAAAAAACAGTATAAACCTTGAACCTGTTTTCTCTGTTTTGAATTTTAAAGTTGATATTGTTGTCTAGGTTTGCTTTTTTTTTCTTTATTTTTTATTTGGATATTTATCTTCTGGTACTTTTATTTTATTAATATGCTCAGAAAAAAGATCTCAATCACTCAATAATATAATATACAATATCATTATTAATCATGTACTATAGGATTTGTGTATGTGCCGTTACATCCCAGTTGCCATAATATATATTAATTTCCCTTCTTAAAGTTTATAACAAATTTTGTGTTTTTGTGTGTATTTTCTTCTGGATTAGTATGCATTTATATATTTGAATTTTCAGTTGAGATAAACCAATTCAAAAGGAAAACTAGCAATGTGCCATTAAGCCTGGGCTAGAATAAATCGAGCTCCCTCTCTTCTTTTCTCCAAAAAACACCTGTGGACACTGAGTCAGTAACAAAGGGGGGATTAGAGCCAAGGCAGGGTAGATAGAGAAGCCAATTCCACTAGGACACGGACACATCTAAATGCACGAGGGGCTGACAGACCTACCAACATGATACATAATTAGAAACAGATGAGTGGTACACACAGTCATATTATGGGATGAAAACAGCGGACAAGACTCACGGGCCATCGACCAACACACACATGCATTTGTGTTTCCATAGTACTTCCAGTGTCAATATCTTCTTGTATTGAAAAGTCTTAGAGTCACTAAAATGTATCTGATGAGGTTGTCTTTAAAAGGTGACTATCATCTGCTGTGACCGACAGATAGTTTGGGTTTATCCATTGAATCCATTATTTGTCTTTGGGCATAACACATGGATGATATTGGCTGTATGAAATGACAGAAAGAAATGCTGTATAAGAAGAACATTCTGAACAAAATGAGTAATTAATTTGAGAGCCTGTTCCAGGTTTAGTCAAATTAAATTACAACAAAACAATGTAATTTAATCAATGCCCCATCAAAAGCAAAATTACAAAGACAGTTCCTTAAATTGTGTTTAAAAGTTCTAAATTAGTTTTCTGCTGCAAGATATATGTAGAGGGTGTGCACAATCTTTGGGCCAAAAAACTGAAAGCAGGATACCAGATTTCAAGGGAGGGTCATTAAAAACATCTTAAAGGCATTGGAAGATCTGACAGTTCATGTTGGACAGTCACAGCCTGGCAAAAACTGGCGGTAGGATATACTATTCTAAATTTGACCTACAAGTAGAATTTCAGTTTTGCCCACTTCTACTGAATACACTTAAGGCACTGTGATTGTCCAGCACAACAGAGAAGTACAATTGTGTATCATCAGTGTGACAACAATATTTGACAATGTGAGAACAATTTCTTCTGTCTAGAAATCACATTTATAAGGAAAAAGCAAAAGTACCATGAACATCTCCCTGAGGAACACCAAGTTTAAAGTTAATTTCTGCTGGAACAGAGTGACATTAAGCAACATAGAAAGTTTTATTTGGGAAATGTGAGCAAAACTAGTCAAGCACAGTGCCTCAAGGACCTATGAAAATCCAAAGGACGGTAAATGTTGTAGCAGTAATAACATAGATGCTGCAAACGCCGTCAGTGCACCTGAACTTCTGGTAAACATGAACTGTAACCTTCTTGTCTTTGACTCAAACTTGTCCAATCAAAACAGAGCTAAGAATGAAGCTTAAATTCTTAGAGAATCAAAAAATACAACATTTATATGAAAGACTTTATATGAAACATTAGCTTTTGTCAGCATTCATTTGTCCCAATAAATAGTCTCTGAGTGTCACCTTTTAAGTTTCAGCAGTCTGAATTAACATGGCTTTGTAGAGTGAGAGAAAGGAAGAAAGATACTCTAATTTGTGAGGTGCTGAGAGGGACCAGTGGAGCTATGGCAACCACCTGGGTGGTCCGCAGCTGATTATAATACTCTCAATCAAAGAGCAGGCTTTGCTCTAATGTCAAGTACATAATAACCCTTACTGTATACCACACTATATACAGTGAGTGGATATAATGCTTCCCCAGGAACGCTGAGGCACGGTGCTGCTCATATGACTGCAGTGATGGTGCTGACATGGGTCTCTAGGAACCTCAAATCTCATACAAGCCTTACAGTGTTTGAATACTGCCAGATGCATTTACCTCAAGGAACCTTTAACACTTAGTGAAACATGGATGTTAATATGTTTGTGCAGATTGTTTTTAGATCTTTTCTTAAAACTTAAATTATTATTTTTATATCAGTTGTGCATTATCTTTAATGCCTGTCCCAGGTGGTTAAAACAGCTCAGAAGATTGCGGGAGCTAGACTCCCACATGCTTGGATACTATGCTGACCGCCTGCAGCGGAAGGCAAGGTCCATCAGTACGGACAAAACCCGCTCAGGACACTCTCTGTTTGTTCCCCTACCATCAGGAAGGAGACACCGCACTTTAAAAACCCGGACTCCACGGCTGAAGAACAGATTTTTCCCCAGGCCTGTAGCCTCCAATAGAATGTTGCATCAGAAGCACGACCTTGAGAGGTTCATTGAAGGATTAGTGCACAGGAAAATATGCATGGAAAAAAAGGCAGAAAAAGTGAAATTCCTTATTATTGTTTGTTGCAGTCTTGAGAATTTCACTAAGCAGCTTTTTCTTACCTTTCTTCAGAGTACTTCTTAATCCAATAAAGAAGTACAAACCCTCCATTCTGACCTATTTTACCGAAGCACAAACTTTGTTTAAGGAATCTTTCACAACTTAATACCCAGTCCAATGGGCACAGAGAGCTGCTCAGCGCCTTGCAAGAGATGCCAATGAGAGCCATGCATCACACCCAACTCAAACAGTTATCAGGTTTTTAAATACTCACGATTTATACCAACACATGCAGAATACACCTGTTCTTTTCACAAGTTTTTTATTTATTTTAATGATTTCAACTACTGTACAACTTTTAGATTTCTTCCAAGTACAAGAAACAAACACACGAGGGAGCAGAAGGGTTTGATATGCTTAATTTTTTTCTTAAATTATGGCAGCTTCATACTCAATGGCTTATTTTATTCTCCTTAGATCACTAAAGGGCAAACTAATGAACTAGTGCACAAAAAACAAAACAAAATGTGTGCATTTTAGCTCATACATGGTGTTTTTCTGTGTGTTGGAATACTGAAAGAAAAAATGAAAGAAACATGTTAATTTAATTTCCACATATTTCAGTCGCCTACCTTTAGATTGGGGTGGCAGGAATTCTTCACAGCCGTGGATGTTGGCTTGTTTTCTAGAGTCCAGCTGCCTGACGCTGGGTTGTCGATTTTCATCATGGCAGCGCTTCCTCTTTACCTCACCTCAGATGTGCTTTCTCCTCAGATGACTGACCACAGCTGACCTCACTCAAACCTGTTGGAATGGGACAAAATTCAAGTTTTGAAATCTGTTTAGACCTTTTAACTCAATAACAAACCAGGTTTCATCAAAGACTTTAATTTTACTTACTCTGTGTACTATACAATGGATTTTCCTGAGGCCAAAATACAGTTAATCTACACAGAGGGTTAATATCAATGGCATGATGGGAATTCAAACTTAGATGTATATTCAAGCTTAAAACTTTAGAAGCAAGAACAAATGGCTGTTTCTAGGTGCCGTCTCTGAACTCCCATAATTCCATACACCCTTTATGCAGGTTTAAAACATGCAGGTTTCTTGTGAAGAGAAGCGGTTTTCTGACAAGAAATGACTTCACATTACACCTTAATAATTGTATCCTTGTGATAAGCTGCTGGAATTGCACAGGAGCAAACCCCAGTTGATCTTGAATCAGCATGTCTAGCATTATAGATAAGATGCCAATGCAGTTAAAGACAATCAGCAGTTTGAAGACACTTTTCTCTGCTTTCGTTTAAAGCTAAGGTTAGCCATTAGCCCATTGCTACTGCCTTTGATTGATAGGAAAGTGACCTTGACAACAAGCCTCTGTTCCATAGACAGAATGAGTCATCCTTTAATGTAACACTGACCTGTGCTTGTGATTCCGTCTGACAATCTGATCAATACTGATAAGACTGTGTTTATAGGGCAGCATTTGCTATTTCTGAAATATCAGTTTAAGGAATCTGTAGACATGTGCACTGATACTAAACTGAGAAACTCCTGACAACTTCAGTATTTATTAATGAAACTGTTCTTATCTTCTTCACAGAAGCTATTACACTGTTGTACTTGGAGCATAACTGTGAAAGGCCTTGAAAAAAGGCATGTTCATACATACTTGTAAAATACCCTGCAAATATCATGTTTTGCAAGACAGGCAGAGGAAAAAAAGATACTCCATGTTCTTTTACACGATTGACATGATTGCAGGGGACATTTAAATCATGTGAAAAACATTTTAAGAATCCTGAAATATATTATTTACGATTCTTGAGTCTAGCCATCTCTACTTTAGCATATAGGTCAAGTATGCCATACATCAACAGTAAACTCAAGTACCTTTTGGGACATACAGAGAAAGACTTCCCCAGGCAATAAGGAGGAAAGGTGATATGAAGCAAACAGTAAAGGAAAGAAAGGAAGGAAAGGAAGGAAGGAAAACTACTAGAGCATTATACTGACGAAACTCATTTCAGATCAGAACTATACTGAACTAAGTCACTAAATATTTCCATTTCATACAAGTTAAACAGGTTTAAAAGCACCTGCAGCATGATTAACATCCAGGATCATCATGTTCGACTGTCAGGGTCATAAACAACCCTGAGGAGCTACAAGGACATGTATGTTCAATCCAGGTCAACACCACACTGAAATTAGGAAGATATGATTTATTATCCTTTTTCTTTATTATTCAGCTAATAATCTCATCAGTAGCAGTGATGACACGAAGAGATTTCTAGAAAGAGCAAAGCTAACCTTCATGAGGAGTATGTAAAGTCAATGATGGATGACGGAAAACTATCCAAGGGAAGACAGATTCTCAAATGACATAAGTAAATGATTGGGTTTGATGAGAAATCTGGAGTCAGACAGGCTCTGTTGTCGTCTTTTTCTGAAATTACATTGTTATGCCTTACTATAATGTCCCTCCCTCTTGAGCCGACTTGACCAAAATTAGGAAAGCAAAAAAGTTACATGAAACATAAAATCAATCAAACAAGCAAGCGTTGATATACAAGCATTGGAATTTTGTTCATCTTAAATTCAAATTGTACAGAGAAAATAAAAAATTATAGCGAGCAAAGTAGATCATAAGTCTCAGTGTGGGTGTGACCTGCAGAATTTTAAAAAGGCTTGAAATTAGTGATGGAATGAAGAGGGAGAAATGTAGAATAAGAGAGAATAACTGTGCAAAGAGCAGAGCTGTGACACAGTTTTAAAGCCAGACTGCCTGTTCAGTGACATGACAAGTCCCTATGGATTCCTCCTTCAGGCACAAACCCCACACACACACACACACACACACTCACACCCCCCCAACACACGCGCACACACACGCACACACACACACACACACACACACACACACACACACACACACACACACACACTGCTTTTGATTCCTGCAGCTGCAGATGATGACATAAGGACTTTTATGCTCATCTGACCCTAACAAACACAAATTTGGCAACAAAAAAGCCTGTTCACGACAATGTCCTCCATGTTTCTCCGGCATGCATGAAGAACTTCTTTGTTTGTTTTTACCAATTAGAGATGCACAAACAAAGAAGAGCCATTCATGCAATCTTTTATCATCCAGTGATACGTTCACAACTTCCCTCCTGTTTGCAGTCCTCCAAACATGCAAATACCTATATGGTGTATTTCATTTCACTTGGTTTTTGGCTGGGTTTTGCTCCAAAAGGCTGTTAATGGGAAACGCCCCCTTCCAGACATACTGCATTGTCTCCACAGTCACTCTGGGTTTAGGACTAGACATCCCGTTCAATATAGAGAGGAGGGAGGGAGGGAGGGAGGGGGAAGTTATGTGAAGGTGAGTGAAGTTTTTTTTGTCCTCTCACATGAACATTGTGTTCAAACTCAATGAAATGTACCAACCTATACAGTATACAGAATATTATAGAGCAGCTACACTCTAAAACTCATTGTTTCCTGGGCGTGCACCTACAGGATGCGTGAAATGATACGTTTTAAATATGACATACATATCATGACGTAGCCTATTTATCAATATGATTAATTGCCTTTTAAAGGCAGTGACCTGCTTCTTGATCACAGTCCTGACAGTAATGCACACGTACTTGGCTGCTGTGTGCCCACTGCACTATGAATAACAGAGGTGCATCTGAACACGCATTTATTATGGTGCTAAAACTCGTGTCAGTATGCAATCAAAGAAACTCTGATATTTAATTCCCTCAAAACGGGCAGCAAACTTGTTTTGAGTCCTAATAAAAACTTCAGACTTTTGATGAAACGTAAAAATGATCACGTGATTTCTGTTGAGTTCTTGGTCGTACAAAAAGAAATGCACTGAGGCTAGAGAATGAATATGCATATCTAGTATCCTGATAAGCTTTCTAAGGATTCTGCCAAATCTCCGTTTGCGCGTACAGCTGTGCGCACTGCACCGGTTAAGTGTTTCATGAAACAGAGTTTACATTTTCGGTCAATCACTCGAATCTGCAAACATCAAACATCACATGGCTCCAACTTCACTAAATCTTGTCGAGAAATCACACTTCATGTCAAAGACACAATATACAGCATGTGATTTCAGTCACTGAGAATTTTCTCTAAAAAGAACATCATGATACTTACCCAACTCGCAGCTTTAACCCTGTACCCTCGCGACGACTCTAACTTCCTATTTTCAAAACCAAAATAAAAGGCACGAACTGCCAGCTGTTGCTAAAAGGCGTCAGTTGCACACAGAGACAGTCTTCCTATCGAGTCACCTCCTCATACTGAACATGAGGACAGCATGTCTCACCGGGAGCGACAGGGTGGATACTGAGCACCGTGCACACAGCAAGCTCACGTGATGCGCCTTAAAGAGCTGCGAAACATACTCGCCATACAGTACCGCGTCCCACTTTTCCCCGGTGTCTGAGAGTCTGTGAGCGGGGACATGTCACTGGAAAAAGTCTGATGGGTATCTGTATACCCTCAACACGGAAAAACGAGTTAGATTTTAACATTAAATGACAAATCTGTTAATCCTGCAGCTGCATGTTGTGGCTCTAATTTGCCAGATATTCTGTAGTCCTGCATCAAGCTCAAACATGCATGGATAAATTATTCCGTCTACCTCCTACACTGTTTACTGCTTCAAGTCTGACCCAAATTGTAGAAAATATGCAAACTTAAACTCCATCATGCTTACAGCAATGAGGATGCATGGAAATATAGAAAACATGATCCTAAAAAAACATGTAGAATACTTAAGCCTTAATCTTTGTGGAGTTTGTTGGAGTATTTAGAGTATTCTCAAACGTTAAAATGGACTGTATATCTTTATTTAACTGTCTGGCTTCATGACGCTCACAATCAATGCTTTTTTAAAAATAATGCTGATATTTTATTATGGCCATAAACCTGTGTTCATGTACAGTAAGGGATTCAACCTCTATCTGAAAAGAACTAATGTTCATTGAAAAGTACGATGAGAGAAATTCATACAAGCGTGAAACGGAGTACCTGTATCTTCTATTCAAAACCTCACAAAACTTTTCTCTGTGGACAACAGCAGAATTTCAAATGTTTTGACTTTCAATGAACTTTTCAATGAAAACGTTGAAAAGGGGACTATACTCACTGAAAAAAAGCTGAAATGAAGCTAAATGTTTTATCAAAACTTTATCTGTAGACTGATTTTGGTGTTTTATTGAAGGTAAAAATTTACCTTAAGGGAGCAATAAGTAAGATATCTAATGAACTAAATCATGAAATTAGTCACTTCAGACATTTAGGAAAGATGCTATGTTGAAGTGCTGGCTTCTCTGAGAACAATGCAGCAGCCAGTATGTCCTCAGATGGTCTGTATTTGTTATGACCAGAGAAGGTAAGCGGTTTAAAGGCACCCCCATACAAGCGTTTTGGATGCCCTTATATTAGCAGATTTGAGACCAGTTATCACAGCATACCAACAGGTGTTGCAGGGATGGAAGCAGGCAAGGGAACTGGTTCAGATTTAACTGATTCTACCCAACCTAAAAAGCCTCAGCATTTTTCTAATAGGCTGCACGCCAAGACATGTGGTAAAATAAGGATAAATATTAGAAATGCTTTTGAAAAATGGAGAGAGGTTAGAGAGCAGAATGGGCTCAAGACCAAGGCAGAGCTGGATAAACACAGAAGCTTCAGTGTCCGCGACATGGCAACCTGCTTGTAAATCGGATCTAGGGAGGAGGGGGCGGGGGGGGGGGGACAGCTCTCTCCAATGTTTTGAATTTGGACTGCAGTAGCACTTTTAAACGCCACATTTCAGAGTTTCATAATGCTCCTTTAAAGTCTTATTTCTTTGTTGATCTTTCCTTTAAGATGGATATTCTGAGTGTCACCCCGCCTATTTATCTTACTGTCAATCATACATCACACTGTAAATCCAAGTAAATAAAGGCATTTTAGCTCTGTGTGCTGTACATAACTTTGTCTGACACCAAACCCATGACAGTATCAGACAAAAAATAACTAATCGGCCTTCTTCCTGATGATCCTGTTTGCCTTACATGAAGGCATTTAATTGTACTCTGTTTCCTCACATTAGGTTCCTGTAACCCTGTAAAAGTTAGAAGAAAGGCCTTCGAAAAATCCAACAACACCAAAAGGGTCCTGTTGGACCCCATAATAAGTATGCATTGTTGAATAAGATCATAATTCCCCTTGTTAAGCCTACAGACTCGACCAGGCAGGCAGACCTCATTTCTCAAGTTTCACTGTTGCCATGGGGATAAGTGGTCTATACACAGCCAACCTGCTGGATATGAACATGGTACAGTACACACCTCTCACACAGAGTGATATGCAGAAGGGCTCAGGGTGCTAACAGTCATTTGTATGTGTTTCGAAAGATCACAGCTGCACCTATAAGATTTGTGCTTTACAATTAGAGTGTTACAATGAATAAATAGAATAAAGACAAACATTATACCCTCCTCCCCAAATTAGAGGAACAGAATAGAGTATCTGAAGAGTAAACATCTGAATGGAAATACTGAACAAAAATCTTTTTTTAAGTAGCTAATATCATCATCTTTTGCTGTACATTAAAGTTTTTTTTAAAGATTTATTTTTGTGCCTTTAATTGAGAGAGTAGGGAGTGACATGCAGGAAAGGAGCCACAGGCTGGAGTCGAACCTGAGCCGCCCGCTTGTAGGAGCATAGCCTCCATACATGGGGCACACGCACTAACCACTGTGCCACCAGTGCTAAAGTTAAGTTTTTTAAATAAGTATTGTGATACATATTCCAGAGGGTCTATTGAGTAATGTTTCATGGAGAAAATAACCACATTGTCATTTGTATTGCAGGCAAACCAGAAATCAGATGTCAAAAAAATGAAGGTGTTTCATTCCATACCAAATATTTATCAGCTGATTTGTGATCTTGAATGTAATCAGTATGATCCACTAATACAGTGAACACAGAAACATTATAGTCATAGCTAACTCACATGATAAGTATCCTGCTGGTCATGTGAGTTACCGCAGCAGTTACCACTTTATTAAGATAAGATAAAAAAAAACTTTTCTGAGCAAAAAAAAAAATATTTATAAACTTGGAGAGACACATTTGTTTCAAAGGACAGCAAAGAAATGTGCAGCACAATAACAACATGTGCATTGAAGTTAATTACTCTGCACAACAACATGAATCAATCAATCAACCAATCAACCAACCAACCAACAAATGAAAATGAACATTTTGCATCTTTAAAACTTTTTGTTTAACTGATGTCTCATGCAGTTCTGTCCTGCCCATGCATCTTTGTCTGTACCCTCGGCCATATTCTCATTCCTTCAGGCACCTGCATTACTATTCTCCATCCGTCCACCAGATGCTTTCAGAATTTCCCACCAGTCCCAGTCATCTGACTCTTCCATCCACCTGCACAACAGTTTATGCTCTCCCTCATCAGCCATGCAGTGTTTCTTTATTCTGGCACATTTGCACTCATTCCCAACCAGACTGAACCGTGAAACTTTATCTGTACCCGACTGCTCCTCCCTGTACAGTTATGTTCAGTTTGTCTGTTTACTTGACAACTGTCGTAGTCTGACATAATAGTGTGCATTTGAATCTTTGCCCTGGTTCATACTCATACTTGACACAACAAGGTAACAAAGGTAGCAGTAATACTATGCTAGAGCATAAAACATGTAGCAGGAAAGGTCTACATTGAGCTTAGCAGACCTCTTGACGATGATGTTGTTGCATGATTGGTACATCAACGCTGTCAGAGGCAACAGTCATGTTGCTCTAACCTTGCAACAGCATAATAGAGGGGACAACAATAAATGCATTTCAATGAAGAATGACTTGTATGTCAGTAAGTCAAGTTTATTTGATATAGCAACCTGCAAAGAGCAAAGGCTAAAAGTGCTTCACAAAGCATCACAATAACAGTAAATATGTGGTGTATGTGCTATTGTGCTTAAATTGGCTGCAAACTCTCCACCTATAATTCTTGGGGCTCTTATATCCATAGCATATACATTCAGATGCAACCAGTGTAATTAAAATCACATCACTGTTTACTTAATTTAGCAAGGTTTTATCAATGCCAGCAACTTGTGTTGTGATTAATTTTTTTGTCACACACGGGTTCGATTACAGCAATTTAGCATTATTTGGCAAGAGTCTAAACACACAATACACAATAAATTAAGAAATATCCACCAGGACATAAAGTGTAACAATTAACTTTAGACTACCAATTGAACTCCGTTAAGATTTCTATATCAAACATCATCCATGTGAATGTCAGTATGAGTCTACAAGCTATACCTTTTTTAAAGATAGATAGATAGATAGATAGAGAGATAGATAGATAGATAGATAGATAGATAGATAGATGAATCAAACTTAAACTGTGCAATTAAGAATAGACTTATACAAGAAATGTACATAACCCGTGCAGGGATAAATATATATGTGAAATTTAAACCTATAAATAGTTGAGGAAAAAAATCTGTAATTAGACCTGAATACAAAAAATAAAAAAGTGTTGACCTTCTGAAGTTGTGTTGTTTGTACAGCAATGTTTAAAAAGAAGATAAAAAAAAAAACAGACATTAAATAACAGTCAGCAAACATTAAATGTGCGATTTAATTGAGGGGTGATGTTCGTCAAGAGTTAGGTTAGCATTAAAGTGTCCAACTAGAGGCTGACTCTTGGTACTGTTGTGCAGATGGGAAATGGAAAAAGGTTTAAGGATTAAGTCCAAGAGTCACTGTGTGCTTTCCCCCTGCTATAACCGTGAGGTGTTGTGCAGACGTATGGCCAGGGGGACAAAAGACTTCTTGAGTCTGTCCGTGGAACAGGATTGTGACAGCAGTCTGCCACTGAACACACTCCTCTGCCTGGTGAAGGTGCTGTGCAGAGAGTGGTGGGTGCTGTCCATGATGGAGAGCATTCTGTTCAGGGTCCTTCTCTCTGCCACTGTCACTGGCCACCACAGAGCCAGCCTTCCTCACCAGTTTGTCCAGCCGTGCTGCATCCCTCTTCTTGTTGCTTCCTCCCCAGCACACCACAGCATAGAAGAGGACACTGGCCACCATGGACTGGTAAAACATCTGCAGCAACTTTTTACAGATGTTGAAGGACCCCAGCCTTCTCAGGAAGTACAGACGGCTCTGTCCCTTCCTGCAGATAGTGTCCATGTTTGATGACCAGTCCAGCCTGTCGTCCAACTGCAGACCCAGGTACCCGTAGGTCTTGACCACCTTCACGTCGACCCCCCTGATGGAAACAGGTTGGGGATGTGACTTGTTCCTTCGGAAGTCCGCCACCATCTCCTTGGTCTTAGAGGT